AGCAAGCATAGTTTCTTATCTTACGTTTCACAGAGCTTTTTGCAATTCTTGTGCTATAATGAAAGCATCTTTTAGGTGTTCAGTAAATTTTCTGTGACTCAGAAATTCCAAGTCACTAAAGAAAAAAAATTCATATTGAAGTAGGTAAGCCCGATTCATTAAAAATAGGTGTAAATACTAACAAGGAGTTTACTTCCTTTTAGGTTTTATTATCAACTCAAGTTGCTGTGCTGCAAAATGGGGAGGAAACAATTCCTTTCACAGAAAGAAGATGTCTACTTATCAGGCAGCAGAGAAAAAAAAATCCTTTAAGGCTCAGCTTCTTCCTCTCCTCCCAGAGTTGCTTTTACCTCTGCATTGGCCCTGCCATTAATGCAACTTCTAACGTCATAAGTGAGGTATTTTCAACTTTTGGATCAACAACTGATGTCACAACTGCGGAACTGTTATTTCCCTACAGGACTGAACAAGTGGTATCTGATGCAGAGAGAGAAAGTTATTGTTCAAACGCAACAGTGGAAATAATTGCAAAAGTAAAGCAAATGAACAGTCAAGTAAATTAATTCCTTTTTGAATTACTGTTCCTGTTTTCCAAGTCCAAATGATTCTCATTTCCTATTTAGGAAGCCTGAGGGGATGAAAAAGTGTCCAAGATGGTGAAATTAAAAATTAGCTACTGAGCATGAAACATGCAATAATTGTACTTCATAGCATTTTTATTGCCCCAGTGTTCTATGAATCACTTCACCATCCCACACTGTTACGATGAAAAAAATGACATCAATAAAGTGAAAGCAATTGATGTTATGACTTCATCAATCCAGGACTAAAGGCATGCACTTAACGACAAATATTTTCAAGAAAACTACCACCTCATTTTGAGGAAGCAGAAATTTCATCTTTATGTCTTCCTGAAAGTTCTCATACCAAAAGATGGAACACTGGAATATAATCCCCAGCATCACTCCTGTGTCCGTATGACACAACCTTGCCTTCTCTTCCAGAAACCAGCCAAGTTTGGGGCTCTCAAGCGACACGAATGAGGTTAGCACACAGCCAGGCTACAGCTAATAAGCTGTCCTAATTCCAAACGCTCTCATTCCTTTGAGGTTTTGCATCAAGATAGTATTATTTTAACAATGAACTGCACTCAGCTTTAGTTTTTTAAAGTCTACAAATTCAGGAAGCGTGAAGCTGAATTATCTCTGCAATTTCACTAAAACCAAATAAAGTTCAATTTATTGCTACTTAAAACTTCCAAGAGAACAATAATCTACACTTAAGACAACAAAGCCGCAGCGCAGCGATCTATCAGATACGACATCAAAGGTACGGCACGCAGAAGTCACCTCCCGCAGGGAGATCGTGCCTGATCTGACAGCCATGCTCAACAGCTACCCACGTGCAATCTCAAATTCCTCCTGCTGATAGCTGAAATTCGACAGGACTAAATAAATAAGAACGTTAGTCTGGATGTGTTTAAAAAATAAAAATCCAAACAATCCACAGTTGCGCTTCTACCTCTACGAAGCATCACTAAATCCAGACCCTTCGCACAGCCAAACAGGATGACTTCTCTCTTTAACAAATACTAGCTTTCTTTTTTATTGAGTGGGTAGGCATCTTGACCAAGGTATTAAAATCTCTGTTAGGATTCTTCCCTTTAATATAGTAGCTCATTTCCCTTATAAAATCATTAATGGAAAATCAAGCCATTTTTAACTCTAGTCCAGCTTCCTTGCAGGAGTGACAGAGGCTTTTTAATATGGATCAGGTCATGAATATACATATTACAAATTGCAGCAACACTGTGTGGCAACAAAGGACTCAGATCATTCATAGAACAGTAATATCTTCTTTCTATTTTGATGAAAAAAGAAGGAAGCAGCATGCACTGATCAGGACAGAAGTCACTTACTCTTAAGTCTGTGTTTTCCTGATGCTTACAAATTCAGGTTTACAGCATGAAGCAATAACACAGCACAAACCTAAGAATGATGAACCAGGAGTATTACAGGGCAAGAGAAATCCTCTTTCATGTTATGCCACAATTCAGCCCTGTTTCACATGAAATAAAAAGTTAGTAGGCACTGCTGTGGCATAATGTTTCCTAGTAGATTCCCAGCAGATGCCCTATGAGCAAAGCAAAACGGTGTACAAGCAGACACAATTCCCAAAGAATTAATGTACCAATAAGAACAACATTTGTCAGAAAGGCAGAATAAAATAGCGACATTAAATTCACAGCTAATTTATCAATCGATATTTCAATTCAGAAAAGCACACCCTCTTAAAACATCTGTTTTTTTCTTGGGTAATTGTGGAACAAATGACAACCAAACCCTACTTCCTTACTTGAAACAGAGACACTGATAAAGGCTTCTATGGTTTTTGTATGGGTTCATGGGGAGGGAAAAGAGGGCCAAACTGAAGTACAAAGATGTTATTCATACACACCTGCTAACCATTACAGAGATCTCCACAAACTGCTTTATAACTACAGTGAATGAAAAACTGGCTCATGATTAGCAAAAGCTAATTTCCAGAAATACAAACGTGATTTAAAACACAACAAATGAGCATATTATCTTTAGCACCTGTTCCTTTACTTTAACTCCAAGCAGTGCTCACGCTAAATGCCAGTTGCCCAGTCCGAAGCAATTAGCCTCCACAACACTTCTTGATGTGGGAAAGTGAACCTTTCTGTGTTACCCTAACACACTCCTGTTCAACTCTTCTAAAAATTGCCTGCTGGACCTAGGGTGGAAGAAACTTCAGAAGAAATATACAAAGACTTCCCAGATACCTTTCCCAATAGAGTACGTGGGAATTCTTCTACAGCATTAACACCTGATGGGACAAGTCTGTCAAGAAGAAAGATGAGAAAGATTGATGCTGATTTTAAAGATAGAATCTTTGCATTTTAGGGGCAGCTAGACTCCTTACTCTAATTAAATTTTAATCTACTTTTCCCAGGTTTCAGAAAGTGCTGTCTCAAATAGACTTATCTTCTAAGAAACGTAGCATGATCTCCTCATTGGAGTTGCTACAATGAGAACACATTAGTACTAAAGCCATAAAAGACTGAGGAAATTGTGGACATTTTCCCCCCAAATGAGTGGATTTTCTTAGTATCACTTAAAAAAAAAAATTGTACAACCACAAGTCTGCTTGAAAAGTGGAAGCTTGACGTTTAAGTGTTTCTTCTATTCTGTTCCTTAATTAATAAAAGGATACATGCACTGACATTATAAACACTAATTTGCTATTTAGCATCCCAAATTAGGAAGCATAAACATTTATGCACTTCATTAAACACTACCTAAGAACACTTTGAGATTAACAGGAGATAAGCAAGGCTGGTAAAAGCAATTTTAGACTAAGCATTAACCACCGTAAAAAGACACTTTTTCTCTTGCCCTTGCTACAAATTCTCCCCAGCTCCATCCTAGAGGTACCAGCCCCTATGAAAAGAGATTTGGAAATTGGTGGGATCTGACAGACTTGTTCTGGTTTAAGGGAAGAAGAGGTTGGAATGCAGAGTTATGGACAGAGAAAGTACTCTTTTGGCAGCATGACATACTCAGATTGGCTTAAATCAATCACAAAATTGTACCTTGGAAAGCAAAAACCAAATACTTATGCCCTAAATTAAGACACTGTTTAAGCACACGTGGCCTACAGAAACAGACAAAGTGACATTTCCCCCATCTCACCTCCAGCACACTGCATGCCCCATCCCTTCCCTCTATCCCAGCTCTAGAAGGAATCCTGACATTGCCCCTCACTCATTATCTGTGCACACAGGACACTGCAACAGGCTCCACGTCATGGTCTGCTGGTGCTAAAGGAGGATGAGAAGAGATGACATGTCTCAAATTTACATCAGGAAAGTTGCCATGGTGGAAAAGAACCAAATGGTGACACTCAGAACAGACAAGCTGAAAGGCAGGTAATCATGGTTAACTAACATCACAAATATGACATATCCTCAAGACTGATCGGTACAGGTCCTAAGTTATCTTATGCTCAAAAAATGTTTCATCCTTCACGAAACGAGAATTAAGGCTATTTTCTTCCAGTTACAGACAGCAAGATATAATTCAGACACACAACAAATTACATCTCATATCTTTGCGTTGCAAGACTAACTTCAGGGTTAAAAATGTATATTTATTTCTAATTCAAATTTGTGCTAAAATAACTTGGTTAAATTACAGACTCACAGGGAAATGGCATTAGATTTTCTATTATACAGAATCTTGCCATAGTGTAGCCACTTAAAAAATCTTCTGAAAATACAAATGTTGTATCAAGAACAATAACATGGACATACTTGAGAGCTTTGTACCAAAACCAGAAATCTGAAAGTCTCCTTGGTTCCTGAAAAAGAACGGCTTTTATATATATATACATATATATATATGAGTATATATTTACATATTTTTAAAAAATAAATTACCATGATTTTACAACTTTGGATTTTTTTTTTTAAATTACATTGGCAGTAGTGATCCGACTACGTGATATGAAGTGAGAAAGAAGCATTCTTCCTCTGTTTTTGACCAAATATTTATAAAAACAAGCGATTAAAATTTCAGTTCAGAAAAACACGTTGTAAAATACAATAAGATCCTTTTCTATAGCAAAGTGAATTTTATGGAGTTCTTCCTTTTGAACAGATTTTTCCTGCAGCCTAGATGCACTAACTCCAATAAAACAAAATATGTGCAAGATGGGTTTGTGTTTGTAGGATTACAGCCTATATACAGAAGTGTGGGTATCCCACTGCAACTGGTTGGAAAACCTCTGAAAATTCACTGCTTCATTGTGAATGGACTTACAATTGATATGACATGACTTAAAAACAGACTGCACTATCGTAAGGCTTTCTGACAGAACGGCTCAAAAAATGAATCCATTATAGAATGAAAGTAACGTCTCAGGGCAGCTTCTCCCATCAGCAAAAATGCCACACAAGTAATAATAAAAAACGACACTTATGTAAAACACTAATATTTTATTAAAAATCCAAAATTTATTGCAAATTGAACTTTGCACTTTCCCTCCTTTCTTCATTTTTACATGACTTATTGATATCCATGATTTTTTCACAGATGTACTTGTTGACTTTGGAGAGTCTCTGTGCAATTTCAGTTTCGTCCACAGTTTCTTGTGCTATTCTATCATACAAACATTCTGGGGAGAAAAGAAAAGAAAAAAAAAGGAAAGCGTCATTAGTCTATTTTTAGAAGAGAATATAGCCCTGTTTGGGGCTAACTGCTCAAGAGACATCACCATAGAGTATCTGTTGCAAAACAACAGAAGCTCTCATTGATTCACTGGGTATTTTGTTAAAGATTTTTTTCACCAGGATTGAATCTTTGGCATGACAACCTTCTAGTTACACCACGACAGCATTAAGAGGCTTTCTATACAGAAACAGGGCTAATTCCAACCTTCCTTGTCAGTCTTGCCCACCTAACTCTGGTATTTTTTCGTATCTCCAGAGTAGATTTCGTATCTTCTCTCACATGAATGGTTTCACAACTGTTATTTACAGTTTCCTGTCACTTCTATCATCGCATCTTCAAAACATTCAGTAAATTATAATGGTTAGAAAGAGAAGCAGTAACCAGTAGGATAAGGCATCCATTGATCTTTTAATTATTATTATTATTTTTTAAAATCTGTACATCATACATTAGCATCTGCACCTTCATGGTGTGCCCTGCCTTGGGGCATACTTTGCTTTTATTAGTAGATTAGCCAGGGAAAGAGCTATGTTCTCACAGGTTTGCACAACGCATTTCGTGTTCTCAACTGTTACACAGAAAGCAAGCAACAGTAATAACTGCAAAGCAATGAAGACAACGAGAGTAGAGACAACCCTGTTTATGGTGTTGGCAGTTCAGTACCAGGACTCAGCACAAGTTACTGAAACTGACACAACACACCCAACTCCTTAGACACAGGCAAGCTTTTCTTTTTGTTTTCATAACCTGAACAATGTGTTTTGTTGAGTAGGCTACTAGCAATAAACAGCTTCCCAGACTGATTAAACAAACTCAGCTCTGCTTTGCCTATTCCAGTGTCCGTTTATTGCTTTATATACAGAAAGCCATAGAGATTATCACTTAATTAACGTGGTTTATAGCATTTATAATGCATTACATTAAAAAGTTATGAAAATTAAGTACTATGCATGCTTTGTAGTTCACTTTGAAACCTCTCAGAAGTTTTATAAAAGGCTATTTCATGTTAACAAGGTTTATAGCAGTGCTCATGCATCATACTTTTAATAATTTCTTTGTTACATACCACACAGTAGAAAATTTTTAAAGAAGCCTGAGATACCAGACTCATTAAGAGCTAATGCTGTTTGTTACTCAGACATCCATTTTAAATATACTACTCTGTGTCCACAGAATGATGAGAGCATCCAAAACAATACGAATTTGAAGTTGTAAGATATACACTGAATATAAAATAGAATTAACCAGCATGAAACCTAATAGCTGAAATGCCAATCATAAGGAAACTATGATTTGAAGATGACGCCTAGGAAGAGGCATTTCACTGAGAACCCAAAGAAACCCAGCACGCTTACAGGACAAACTTGTGTTGCTGCAACCTCATAAATGTGGCCGAAAAGGTTGCAGCAGATACACCTAGTATGGTGAACTTCCAGTACAACACCGGCTACAGCCACAAAAAAGAATTACTTGATACAACTAATACATCAGCTTTAGTTCTTAAAGTCAGTATGACCCAGGCAATCCATGACTATGGATTGTCACAGTTCTTCATCTCCTTTCTCTTCCATTTCTGAGAGGCTGCAGAAACAGTAGTTTAGTAGTTTAGATGGTGGCTCAGGGGCTCCAAAAATTGATCCGAGGGTTCTGCTGCTTCTTTGCCTTTTGACTTTAGAGAAGTATACATACCTTCTTATTTCTGACATAAGCAAAGAGTCAGGTAGACCTGAACTCAAAGGTCTACTCAAACTGAAGTCTAACAAGGAACTTTATATCTTTCTGTGATACATGAACAAAGCCAGTGGCCAACTACCTTCCCTGCATTCCTGCATTTGTCCAACTGTTACTCTTCTTTTTTTTGTCTTCTCTATTTCTCCATTACATAACAATTCCTCATATTTCCAGTTTTCTGGGAGTCACTGTTAATTTAATGGGGCAAGATCTCGAATATTAACACAAATGAAAAGGACACGGAAATGTGGAAAAACATGTTTATGCACTGCCTGCTGCCACCTGAAAGTATTGGCCATGCAGTTTAAGTGGCTGAAGAGAAAATCGTGCAGTCTCTAGACCAACAAAAAAAGAGTTACAGACAAGGTGAAGGAAACACTGGAAAGAAAAACATGGAAAATCCGTGAGTAAACAGTAGAATTCAAGTGATGGTGGAGGCAGGAAGCCAAAGTTTGACAAAAAACACAGAAAACTGAGGAGATGGGGAAGAGCTGAATTGCTGGGGAGCATGAAGTTAAGGAAGAGCACAAAAGGAAGAGCTCAATCTGCCTCTCACCATTTATCTGTCAGAGTGCACTTCCAAAATCACTAATCAAAACAAGTTAGGAGAAAGTTATCATTTAAACAGTGTAAGCAACACAGACTGGCCCTGACTGAAGCAGAAGAGCAAATTCTCACATAAGTAACCTTGCCAGCAGCAATGAGAAGCAACAGCCTTCAGCTAAGAAACTAGAAGGCTCACTGCAATGAACAATAATCCCTTTTTACTGCAGGTTTGCACATCTGTAAACTGGGCAACTAATTCTTTTTTAGGAGCAGACAAGCCACAGAGTGGACTCCTTACGCAGTCAGTATGTCATCACTGTATGTTAGGATTGTACCAAAAAGTCCCGGTCAGAAGTGGAAAATCGGTATGGAACAGCTTGCATTTCTATATTTATTCTCAAGATAAGTTAATGAAAAAAAAAAAAAAAAAAAAAACCAAAAAACAAAATATCTTTTAGTCATTTCTTATGGAATAAGAAAGGCAACAGCGGGAATACCAGCTTCCAACTTTTCCCCACAACACAAAGACACAGACACGCACACACTCAAAGAGGAATAGTATTTCTTAGTTCCAAAAAGTGGTACTTGCAAGGCACATTACAACCGCTCATAAGACAGTTCACAGTTAAGAGCACACAGTGGCTAAGAACAGGAAATACAGAATAACGAAGCTCAATCAAATTGCAGAAGAAACTTTAATAGGGAGATTGCTTTCAGCCCTACTGCAATTTAGTCTGGACACAAAACCAAAATCCAATTTTGCTAGGTATTCCACAAGGAACTGCCTCAGTTGTAACTTAAAAAGAAGAAATACCAAGAGAGACAGAAATGAATGCGAAACACAAGCATGATGATACAAAGGGACTGAAATTCACTATTCATTTTAAATAAAGGAGAAGGCCTGCTCTATCTCCAAGTACTAAATGCATAGACTCTGGCTTGCAGTTACTGAAAGTGTCACTGCAATTTTTTCCTGCCAATGATTTACACCTCCTGTTCAAATTCCAATTCAAGTGCAACATTTAATTTTTACTATTTACATTTTCTCCACTTAAAAGGGTAAAACTATTATTTCTCAGCTCTGAAGGCATGCATATTTTTACAGACAGCTATAACTGTTTCTGTGCCTCATGTCAGAGTTGGTTACATTCTGGATGGAAGAATGTGGTAAAGCTACTCTCAGGCTTGTTAAAAGCAATAAGTGCATTTAGAAAGATTGTTACGTTACAAACAAATTCCAGAATCATGTGGTATTCTCCAAGCTTAAGAGTCCTGTCCTGGAAGTGGTTCAGAATGATGATCTTCTAGAACCTTACTGAAGTCAACATACAACTCTTCGACTGTGAAGGACTGCGCTGTGCACAGCTATTGCAATGTATCTGATTTTTCCTGGATATGTATGCATTAACAATGCAATAGCAATTTTAATTACAGTTTTTAATCAGTTAATTTTACATGAGCTGAGAAGAAGCATCTTTCAACTCAGTGATTAATGGTTAAACTTCAAAGCAGGAAGCAAAAGTTTTCAAATAACCTACCTCTGACAATGCTTAATTTGTGAGGTGAGAGAGGTGGCTTGGGAACGGCATCTTTCTTTTTTTTGGTTGCAACTCCTGTGACACTTCTGTTCTTGAGAACATCTGTTCCCCAAATCATAACCGCTAGATTTTTTGTATACTTTGAATCTCCTTGTGTTACTTGCAGCTGGTGCCATTTCTCCTCATCTACCCAAATTCCACTGCCAAGATGGACCTAGAAGGTAGTAATAATAACAGCTTATCTATGGTACGTAGCACACAACAGTCTCCAAGTGCTGTTTGAACATTAATATTAGGTACTATAATAACAGTAATTAGGGTTGAAAAAAATCCATTTTGCCTAATACTGAAACTTCTCCAGCTTTGTGGGGACTCTTCTTTTCCTCAATTCTTCTTACCCTACCTTTTAAATTTGATTTCTGCCCACCCATAGCCTACCTCCCAAGACTACGGTTAGGAATAGAGATAGAAGAAGGAAACAGGAAATATATCCAGTATTATTATAAAAGTATGCACAGCATATAAACCAAGCACCAGCCTAATTTAGGAGCAAAATAAAACATTTTCTTTCACATGAAAACTTCCCTTTCCCTTTGGCTGAAAAAGACCTGGAGCAGTAGAGAAGGGAGGTATCAGAGAAGGGAATACCTCCTAAACCATATCCTGCTCCTGCTGGCCAGACTGAGCTTGATTGTTTAAAGTAACTTGATGAGCAAAAGTGATTTTGAGAGTTCCAATTTCAGCATAAGCCAAGAAACTTCATAAGTGCTGTAGAAATCAAACTCTATAATAATAAAGTCTACTTAGCCCGAACAGTCTATCCAGGTAAATACTGCTTTGTGGTAAGGCAATGACCCACTGCTGCAACATCATAAACTTTCCATTATCCAGATACAGGGAGTAGAGATATTGCATTAGAGTAGTAAAAAGGGATGATAATGCAGGTACTGAGAAATGCAGCATAAAGCCACTATAGTCTCCAACACAAATCTGCTTAAGTGTCGTTGTGCTTCGTAGTCTTGCTCAGTGCTGAATATGCTGGGCTGACTCCCACAGGGCTACCCAGCATCCCTTCCTAAATGTTCTCAGTGCTTCAGACTTAAGACAAATGCAGGACAAGAACTTGAGCACCGTCCTTAGGCTGGCACTGTGCACATTTGAGCTGATAAGCCCCCTGATAACCAGGCTCTGTCAAGCAACAGCAAGGAAAATGACTCTACCATAATCAGCAGGGATCTGACACAAGTGCAACTAGTAAATCCAACTGGATCCAAATGCTGGCCCTGGGCAGCAGAACCACAGTTAATATTTGTCCTGCATCTGTCTATGCTCCTGATCCCTGGAATGCACTGCAGACACCTGTAAAGCCTCTGCACACAGAAAGCCTTGTTCACATGCTGATTAACTTCACCCTGCTGGGCCCGCACTTGCTCAGTACCCATGATAGGGCAGTGCATGACCGAGCTATTCCAATCACTGATAGAACTCGCTGCACTGGAAAACAAGATAGAATTTGCTTTCAGAAAATAATGTAAAAGTGGAAAATACCAAAAATATGTATCGACCAGACTGTTACATCCAAAATTCAGGTTTCATAAAATCTGATTAAGTGGAGGCTCTCTCTGTAACACGAAAACCTTAATAAAGCTTACTGCCTCCTCATCATTAAAAAAAAATAATCCTGTGAACATAACTCTCTCCTTTATTAGGAGAATTTGTTGGGCTTAGCTGTTTTCTTCTTAGTTTTTCAGATTTTTACTTCTTTCATATGGTGTTACATAAACTGTGTCTGTTACCCATATGGATCTGAAGAATATCACATAAGTCCCATTAAATTCACTGAACATTGGACAAAGCTACTGTAAAATTTTATATAGCCATAATTTTACAGCCCATATTCAAGCAAATTCAAGCAAACTTCCATTTTCCTTTAAAAGGAAGCCTGCCTTAATTATTATTGTGGGCTATAGCCTGAAGAAATATTTTATTACAGCATCTTTCAAGAGTAAGTACTTGTATAAAACCTTAAACAGGAAAATAGAATGGTTTGGCTACCAGCTACTTGGTAAAAAAGAAAAGAAAAAAAAAAAAGAAGTATAAAACCATAAGGCAAGCTGCCTCTACTGGAGGAATTGCTATACTAAGAGGATTCTAAGAAGCTTTTCATAAGTCCACATTTTATTTACATTTCATAATAGACAGAAATGGAACTAGTAATAAGCACAACATGAACACCTTTTCCTTCTTTCATTCGCTGTTGTTGAGATTCTTTGTAATTCTTTGAGATAATTCAAAGTTTTGTTGTGCTTTGTATATGTTTTGTGAGACACCTTCATTCAGAGTGAGCAGCCTGTGCACAGGAAAGTCACTCTACAGGTATAAATCGGCTATTTTTGTTTTAATCACAAAAAGTTACCAGTAAAAATGAACACAACAGCTACTTATAACTGAGATATGGAATGTCGCTATGTGAGATTTTGGGTTGCTATATTAACTAAGTTCTAGAGAGTGTCCCCTATTTGATCAAAAATCGGATTCCTTCCTGCTAGAAATTGTTTCATCTTTTATTTGTTCATTAATTTTAAGTTATTTGAAATAAAACATAAAGTTACAGCAAATATTTTTTATATTTATGGTTCTGACAGATCACTTCTTCTTTGAACGTCTTTCATTTATTAAAAAATAATGATTCCTGATATGAAACCCCTATGGTAACAGGAATGACGTGACAGACAGCCACAGCCACAGAAATCTTATGTCTTTCTTTTTCTATTTCTAGCAGTGTCACAGCAAGAAATTTAATCTGTCCACGTCTCAGTTTACCTCTCTGTAGAACAGGCTTGGTACTGTTTCCTATTACTCCCAAAGTCATGGGAAGCTTACTGTATCAATTCAGAATTCACTGCCTTCTTGCTGGAAGAGGTGCCCCATGGGCCAGTCCCTTGGCTTGATGAAATCAATGGGAACTTTGCCCCTGACTTCAGCAACAGCAGGATCAACATTTAAGCCCAGTGCAACAAGAAGAGCAGCAAATTCAAAGCAACGCTCACCATCGTAACTGTGCTAACAAGTGCAATATATTTAAAATGTATCTCAGAAGATGGACTTTTTTTCCCCCTCTCCAATGAACGCCACAGGGTCTTGTTCAGTAACTCTGCTGTCCCTCTGGAGGAGAGAGATTTATCTGCATGGAAAGAACCCTGCTAAGATCAAACACAATGCCACAAAGGGGTAAGATTTCTAAAAAAGTATTTCCCACTACTCTAGAAATGTACATCAATACAGAAATACTGGAAAGAAAAAAAAAAAAAGAAAAGGACACAAATCAGGAAAATGGGGAAAAAAAATGCTATCCAACAGTAAATAAATTACTAGTTTATATTTCTGGCATCTGAACTGGCTGAAGCACCCCCAAAAATAAGAAAAAATTAAAAATACTCCAAAAATACAAAAAATAAAATGAAGTAAGAGATCTGTAAAGACAGAAAACTTGCAAGTGCCAAGAGGCTGGCAGATGGAATAAAGGTGCAGAAAAAGTTGCATACAAATACTAAAGGACATACCCTACCTTGCAAACCTTACAGAGAGAAAAAGTAAACTAAACTGTCACACTAATATGCTGTAAGTTTTCATTGCCAATAATATGCACGTACAAAAAAAAAAAAAAAAAGCAAATGACACATGTTAAATACGTGTATTAGGCAAGAAAAGCTACCTGAAGAAAATAACAGTCAAACTGCCAAAATTACACCATTTTTCACATACGTTTTGTCCTCGACAATTATGTTGAATCATCTTTAAGAAAGACAGGCACTTTAGCAGTCAATGTTGTAACACAGATCTGATAACGTAGCATGTGATGTTATTCCATTACTAAATTGTACTCCATGTGAAGGCTGAAATGGACACTTCCTCCTAAAGGGTTCTCAGATTGTGGAACTGAATGCATACATATCCTAAGAGAATGGATCTGCACAGGCAATGCTTAAGGACATATGGTTTTGTAAAAGAAATATCACGTTAATTTAATCATAATGGCAACAGCTATAAAAGCAGGCCTCTGTGGATAAGCAGACAATGGATTAAACATACTGGAGTCTGAAAAACTATCATCAGGTGCTGGCATACTGCAGCTAGACTGCATTTCACCAACTTCATAAAAACATCTGGAAAGCAGAACTACCTCAGCTCATCTCAAAGGCAACGCCCCTACCATATTCAGGGGAGCCCATTTTCATTCCAGGGTTCATAATTATCTGCTGACTCCAACCAAAGCATGAAGGTTTCTCTGCAATATGAGTATAGCACACTAAAAATATTAAAGACCTTCTAAGAAAAAAGGTATTGTTGTTAAACAGACTAATGTAACTTTATAATGTGCGTCACTGACTGCTGCATATTCAGTGGATTTATGTATGTCACCAACTGAATACTCCATGCATGCACATTAATTTTATTCCTTGTGTTATACAGCATTCTATGCTTTCAACACTGAGCATAATTTTCAGTGCTGTTCACATTTGCATAATTCCATCATTTTCCTCAGCATTAACAGCACACCTTTGCAAAAACAAGGGAAGTTTGTATAAGCTGGTATCATGCACAATCCCCAGGATTATGAAAACTCCACAAGAAAAAAAACACCTGAAGGACATTTACAAACTATTCATGCCACATTTAATTTAATTTAAAATACCTTTCCATTCTCGAGAATATACTTGTCCATTACTGGAACAGGGGCAGGAAAATACGTTGATGTATTTGCTTCCTCACTGAAGGTCTTCTGTACCTCAGGTTCAGGCTCAATTGTTTCTGGTTTTACTTTTTCAAGCTCAATGGCAGGTCCTAGACAGTTAAGAAAAGAGAGCTGTCTGCTATCCCAGAGAACATTGCATCAATCACTTCATCACCCATGGTTAGCGTAAAATATCACAGTGGTCAAGTTCACAGTAAAGTTAGAAAGAGCCCAAACCAAAATCCTGTGAACATCAGTAAGCAAGAGCAGGATAAGTAACTCTGTCTTATAAAGATTAAAATATTCAATTTAAATTTAAGTGTTGAATTTTATTCTTAACACATAAGAACTTTTACAGATGTGGATAAGGTTGTTTCAGTGTACATCATGGGTATTTTGCTGCAGTGGTAGTGAATTTATAAATCAAAAGACAGAATAGTAATTCACTAAATAAGAATTACTATATAGTTATGTAGAAACCTCCATAATTTACTGAGATAATTATACCTAACGTTATATGGATAACTTATATTTAATAGAAATTTGAAAACTCTTTAGATATTTCTAAGCATCTACAAAAATGTCACGAAGGAAAAAGGCTTAGGCTACTTTTGCTGAAGTATCATGCAAAGAAAGATTATTCAAAGTTAAAAACAAAATAAAACCATAAATTAGAATTTTGATTCTCCAATCCATCCAAATCCATCCACCACTCCAATTTTTATTTTTAAACCAATCAACAAATATTAAGCACAAATTAAGTAATAGAATAATGTTAATCATTTTTTTTTTTTTGAGGTTTCAAAGGAGGATAATTATATTGTCAGTCATCATCTTTTCTTTTCCTGGTCAAATTGATCAAGTGCTCCTAAAAAGGCAGAAGAATAAAAAGAATGCGTGAATTGGATTTTATTATCCCATTCATGGCAGCAGTTAAACCAGAGATCTAGGAACAGGCTATGAAGCCTGTCCGGGTTTCTCGATGCCTCTTAAGCTCTTGAGAAGCTCCAGCAGCCACAGAAGTCCCATGCAGAGAGAGTGGTTTGTTAACAGCACAGCTGCCAGCGCAGAGCCCCGACTACAGCCATCACCCCCTTCAAGAACTACAAGGATAAACTCACCTACTTGTAAGAGCTACAGCGTATCAGATATTGCACAGATTCAATAAATGACAACTCAATAAGCATATCACCATTATGGACCAGCATCCCTCAGTGCTTGTACACAGGCCAAAGTCTGAACTGATCTATGGCTGCAAGTCAGCTCACAACAAGAGCTTTCGGGTCATTTTCCTTAAACAATTCCTGTACTGGAACAACCAACGTAGTCATTCCTCCCACTTTGTGCAGTTTCATTTATAGATTATCACATGGTCGTATCAGCATTTCCCCAACTGCCAGTATTTGACCTTTATCCTATAGCTTATTCTGTACCTACACAGCTAGCTAGCTGCTCTCAGATGACTGCCAGTCAATGCTCAGCAGCAAGAACTCATCCAAAAACAAGTTGACTTGCACAACTACACAGCAGTGCCACCAATAGTGTCTTAAGAGCCATATGCAATGCAAGCATGGCACAAAGAGAGAAATCACAAAAACATAACATTTCCATTACAATTTCACAGTCATTTTCATAAGCACTTGAACTATCATGCGTATACCATGGTGAGACTGAAACAAACTGAAGCTTCAACACATGAAAGTGTTAAAATGAGTCAAATTGGGGAAAATTCTTGATTGATTGAACCATCCGGAGGTTTTGCATAGATCTTCATGCTGGCAGATGCAGGGATGTAATTGCCACGTGAACTTAACATGGAGAAGTGAACTTTTGGCTTTGTAAGAAAACACTCTTCAACAAAGTGCTATTTTGAGCTTTCTTCAAATGTATTATTCTTATACTAAGAAAACTGCTTCGAGGAAGATACCTAAGTATAATCACTTTCTTACTAGAAGGAAACATTTATCTCATCTAAACACTTCTAGTGTTCGCTACTTAGAAGTCTTTTACTGCACGTTTACAGTAATATATTGACACAGCTGGGATCTGGTTTCCAGAATCCCCCAAGAAAAAATAGCTGACTGAAGTCCCCAGTAACCATAGCTCTAACAGGTCAGAAAGATCTCTAATTGAATTCATGCTTTGCTGCTGAAATCACCTACAGAAAGCCTTGAAAATGTCTTCTTTCATACTCCACTGGTTCTTCTTCTCAAACAGAAATCTGTCTCTAAGTAGGTAGTCTGCCCAGTTTCTTTCAATTAGTAATGAAGAGTGCATTTTCAGCTCCACACATGAGTTAGACATGCAACTTGCATTGTTACCTTCATACCAGTGGGTGTTGTGTGCCTAATTTATCATGCACCATACTTTAAAAAGTTCTATCTCTGTAGCTCTTGTGCTCTGCATCTTATTCTAAAAAGAGCAATGGACAGGGATACACATGTATTAAAAAATGCTGCCACCTAAAAGATGAATAACAATAGTACTTATTATGTATGGATCGTGAAAAAATAAAGACAATTCGTCAAGACACAACGAGGAAACAAATGCTTTCTTGAAAAAAATCTTTCTGATTGTAAAGTTTCCTTACTATCCGAGAGGCCCTCAACTTCAAATGCGCTATGAAGAGGCAGAAGGCTTCTCTTCAAACACCTCCTGAGCTAACACGGTCTACTAGGATTTCAGTGAAAACAGCAGGAGTATGAGAGATGATCATGCTTTACATATGCTACTTCCTGCACTCCAATTTGCTAGAAATGCTGGATTTTTTTCATTGAAAAGCCAAACAGATAAAGAGAAGCTGGACAGCAGTAATTCCTTAAGTGTATGCTAAGATGCACAAATACTTGGTCTTTCTGCCTATCCTGCTGTCAGTTCCATGACCCTGCAAACTGCATCACCACAAAGAGCACAGTTAAAATAAGCTCTTTGTGAGCGAATTGGGGTGGATACACTTTTAGGCACTAGAGGAACATTAACTCCTAGCAGTGCAACACGCGTGTCTGAAAGGTATCTACACCCAAACAGCATCCCTGATACAACTTCACTACCTCTGGTCATATACAATCACAGCAAACTATCCATATCTTAATCTGTAGACACTTAGTTTTAGAAAAAGTTCCTGAACTTCTCATCTTTTGTATCTATTGAAAGTAAGGAAAATAGGGAAAAGCCATTGATTTTCAAAGTCACCTCACTCTCTCTTAATAAAACCAGGGCAAATTAGGGTATTTTTAGATGCAACAGAGCAAAGACAAGCTACAAGGCTTCCTGACATCACAGTAGGCAAGTGCAGAGAGGCTCTGGCCATATACACACTTCAGGGAACATAAGCATAGGATACTGTAACTGCTTCCACTATCATCACCCTCTTCCCACACAGCCTTGAGCCCTAGAACTCTGGTCAAACTCTTGTATCTTCCAGGAAGTGATCCATATTGAAATGATGGAAAACTTTCTGTTATTATCCATGGATCAGTAGTGATTTCACTACTGCTGTTGGCCACAACTGCCCTCAGGTTCTGCTGTCCCCATGTGAAACACTGAGAATCCTGCTCCTCCCACAGCAGCAGCTCAGGATTTCGTAGCAGAGACGAAGGCCTATGTCTGGAGCAGAATATACTGACTTCTTAATTCATACTGAAATCAGCATATTGACAGGAAATTAAGAGACTGAATACTTGACTGAATGTTAACTCAAGAGGGTGTTCTATATTTGATCTGCAAGTTTAAAATGGCAACAAGGACGTGTTTCCCACAGCTGCAATTCATCAACACAAAACAGCTGTCATCCCATGCAAGCAAATCAGAAGTCTCTATGGTGAAAGAGAAATGCAATTAGTTTGCATTAAGTTCAGCCTGCTAGAGGTAAAGCTTAACTTAAATGACATGTCATTTGAAACTCCGAGTTTAGGAGATCACCACAACAACCAAAGATAGATTCAGGATGTAACCTATTTTCTGAACCGTTCTCAGAGATTCTTCACATACTCAGACATACTCCATTTACAAGACTGGAAAGTAAAGAAATACATACATAAAGATATTTTTTTTTCCTGATTAAAAACAGCACTTTTTCATAGTATCATCAATCAGACTCTCTAATTTATAAGTTGCTGAAGATCTCTCTTTCTAATCTTTCTAGAACTTGTTTTTTTCTCTGTGAGAGAGGCTACAATGAAAGGCAACAGTTAGCAGCAGTTAGTATACAAGTACACACAGCACACACAATACACACATAACACACATGACACACACACAATACAGCCCAATGGGCCAAATTCTACCTTTGTCATCCATGAAAAGTTCCAAAGGGATCCAGGAGAGAACCCACCTCCAGAATGTTTTAATGTTACAACTAATTATTATAAAGGATTTCTGGAAGTTATTCATAATTAGTATTTGTCCAGGCATACAATTAACTTGTTTTCAATGTATTCAAGATGTATTTTCTATTATGTAGCAGAGGGCATACTGATAACAGGTCCAATAGAGGGTCCAATGGAGTGAAGGTTCCGTTTCTTTTTCAGCCTTTTTTCAAAAGTTTTTCTTTTTTTTTTTCTTTTTTTTTTTTTTCTTTTTTTTTTCCCTTTTTCTTCTAAGCTTTCTTAACGTGGCTCAAGTGAAAAAAAGCAGCCCCCTTTCTTAGAGTGAAAGAAACGAGACAGAATTCAGAAGCTGTCTCCATTCCACTGCAGGTCTCACCACTCAAACTGTTGTCAAGTCTACCAACTAAATTGGTATTTGATGCTGTTTAGCCCCATTGCCTACAAACATCTGGTTGATGTTCCATTCACATAAATTCCAGCTAACTATTTGCAGATGAAGAAACATCTCTCCATCCAAGGAAAATTTTTCGAAAGCTCAGTAGAATCTACTGCCAACGATATTGTGTTTTTTCAGATTGTGGAAATCTTGCCTGTTTTATTTTAAAAGTTAACTATTATTTTTATAATAAGTAATGGCATTTTAATTATGCAGAGCATAACAACAATGAGCGTTCACACCCAAACACCCAGTTTAACTCTTCAGCCTCGAAAACCTGAGTCCAAATCTGCCAGCACACCTTAACACATGCTACAGGACAGGCACATGCTCTATCAGGTTCAGGTTTGTACGTGAATGGATCTCCATGCAAACTGCATGCATTCGTTCAAGTAGAAGAGCCAATATCCAACTAACATGCAAAAATTAATTTTCCAGATACACAAAGGCAGACATAAGACACAGCATGCTAAGTCTGGATGCGTAAATTTTAACCAAGTTTCAGTCACCAAGCGAATCTTCAACACAACAGTTTCACATTCTATTAGCAAATAAATATAATTCAGTAAAATATTTGAAGGTATTCCGAGGGTATCATCTTCAATGAAAAGGATGAGCTTTTTATTTTGTCTTTTTTCCCATTTATTCCAACATAATGATTAAATAATTGTTATAAACCAAAACAATTTAGCAATTACTCAAGATATTTAAAATTTAAATCCAAATTACACAAACCTGCATTTTGTAACACATGCTGATAACGGGACGCTAATATAGAAAGTTTCTCTTAATTAGTCTTTAACAAGCCATTATTTTTTAAACAGCATGGCTGTTTAAAGCCACTGCCAAGAAGTTCAGGTGTATTCCACATTCCAGTGTGCTACTGACGGGAAGCAGGGGCAGAAAATGGGAGGTAACAGTCACTTACATAACAAAAAACCCTAACTGAAAGAAGTAAAATAGGTTTTGCCCAAATTTTCATTGCACTGCCTTTTCTTTCTTCTTTTTTTCTTTTTAAAACTGGAACATATTGGTATATTTTGCAGATTAAACTTTATTGTCTTTTTCAGCATATACTGGAAGTTGAAAGACCTGTTAAAATACAGCTGCTTAAAACGAAACTCTGATTCAGCCAAACTAGCACAAAGACCTCTACTACCATTAAAGAAAAACCCAGACATACATATCATACAAATTCGACGTATATTGTACAGCCATAGCAGAAAACCCTTTTAACATTCAATGTCCAGTTTAACAACCACTGCTATTCTTCAAAAATGTTTCCATTACTATTGATCACATTTGCAAAATTCATTAAAACTTGTCCCATTTAAGTCCGGCACTTACCACTACCTAGTCTTAGAAGCAGTACATCCTGGAGTCTCCTGTTCAAGTCTCTGAGCTCTTTCATTTCTGACACGAGTGCCCCATATTCCTTTAGCTTCTTTGCTTGCTGCACAAGCTGCCTCCGTGTTCTTTCAAGCTCCTGTTGAATGTGTCTCATTTCTTCTTGTTGCTGTTGGTAACTCCTCAGCAATTCTTCATACAGAATCCGAGGGACTACAGCATCGTCCATGTTGTTCATCCCTTCTGAAGCCTCCATGAAAGCCTCCTCAGGGCTGGAAGTATTACTGAGACTCATCCCATTTTGTTTTTCAAGGCGAGCAACAACTGCTTCGATGCTTTTGTGTGTACCTTCACTTTGTTTCCTTCCATCTTGCCTCTGAATGTTACAGTAAAAATAACAATAATTAGAAGTATAGTAAGGTTTAATATAAATTAAAATTCTACAGATTTGTGGACTGTTAATATTCTTTTACTTATTAAAAAAATGCAAAAAAAAAAAAAAAAAAAATAGTCTGCCTGCAAAAATGTTTTGCCTATCAAATCCTTATGAAGACACATGCTGTAGCTACCATGCAGGTGTAATTCAGCAAAATGCATATACAAGCTTCTGAAATACAGACGTCTTTCTTTCAGGTCTTTCTTTCTGCATTTGTGCAACAATTGCAAACTGACTGTGTTAATAGGTCACTCCATTCCATATACAAAGCTAATTTATTAAAAAATAACACTGGATCTAGTGCTCTTTTCCATTCAAGTTCATGCTTAACATCTAGATTTCCTACAACAATGGCTTTTCTGGTAGGTAAGAGAGACAATCAATTATGTTTGTCACCTGTGATGACATCAGAGATCAAAGGAGCACACCACACAAAGCTGCTGTTTGCATTGAGGGCTTGTCCTTCCCACACACGAGGAGACAAAGCCTTCTGACTTTTCCCCTGCTACATTAGCCCAACGGGTGAATATGTTAACACTATCAGAAAACAATGAAAGGGAATTGAAAACACCGAAGTTGGAGACAGAACGTATCATCTATCTCATTTCCCTGATCAACTGATTGTTTCACTGTTAGTTCTACATTGCAGAGGCTTCATCTCCTTTGAACTCCTGGCAGAAATTCACCTTCAGTCTTCTAAATAAAATCCAAACTCTATAAATTAAAGCACACCTGTTTTTGGGGGCCCATACAGCAGTATTAAAATGTAACGGTACGTGTAAAAATCACTATGTTTTATTGGCCAAATATGGAAAAAGCATTTGAACTTCCAAGCAACTGCAAGGAAAGCAAATGTAGTTCATAGACTAGAGACAAGAAGCTGACACTATCAATTCCCATACCACAGTATCCATGAGTAATGTGGCAGAAAATGAGATTACTCCACGTTATGCCTGCTCCACGCATGCTCTAAAAAAAAAAAAAAAAAATGCTGGCCCACCATAAAGAGATGTACTAGCATCATTCCTGCAGCTGCAAAACACATGAAGCCACAGAACATTATTTTATTCTGAAGGTTGGCAGGCTTTTAAAGAAATTATCTGATATCAAAAAATAAATATGGTTACATAGTGGGCTTCTGCAATCTGGACCTAAAAAGGCAACTGGCAGTTATAATATAGGGATGCTGCCTTGTCAGTTTGCCTTCTCAAGCACTGCTGTATTTGAGAAGTCTCAGAGCACCTCTTTCAATTCCAAATAAGCAAAGTGCGTTAGGTCATAAGTGCCACTGAGAACAGCTGGTCACTTTTAAAGCATTCTGCACCCAAGTGAAAGAGCATCATTCCAAAAACCTCAAATGGTGATTAAGCCATGTGAGACCATATAAACAGGAAAGTGTTTGATTGCACATGAATCAGGTTTTTGAAAACCCATACCATATCCCCTCCACTCCTAATTTGAACCAATTACAATAAACACAATGTTTTAAGGAGATCAAAAGCAGCACTGGAATTCTTAAGCTATGAAGTCTGTACATGCCCCAAGCACTTCCTCCCCCCCCCAAAAAAAAACAAAAGAAAAAAAAGGAAAGTCTTCAGTACCTTACTGTGTCTAAGCTCCACATCTTCTTCCCCATAATCTGTAACCTCCCCAGCTTCTTCTACGTGATTGAAAGAGAGTTTGGGGATTTTAATTTTCTTCTGCATCACACTGTTCTCAAGGTCAGTTTTGTCCTCTAAAATGTATATTGAAAGTAAAATTTTGTTACATTAATCAGTGTTCTTACTTCCAAATGCTACATGACTTCAGTAAGACTCGTTTAAAAAAAAAAAAAAAGAAGAAAAAAATATCTCCCATGCTACATTCCCTTCAAATTAATGCATGGTGTAACTCAACTGATAGCCATTGACGATGCTAGAGTTTCAACAGGAGATCAATCTGGCCAAACCCAAGCTTACGTATTGTAAAATGTCGAGCTAAGTTTATTGGAACCATCAGAAATGTCAACAAGTAGGTAGTACTATCACTAAATAAGAGTTAAAGATGCTGTAAATAAGGCAACTTCCTAAAAGCATCTGCATTACTTTACGTTTACCAAAAGTATTTTCATATTCATTATCTGTTACTGCAGTTCAGACTCTACTGAGGCTTTAAGTGAAAATAAACTTGGTTATTTATCCTTTACTGCACTTGTACCAACAATCAGCAGCACAGATTTATTTGCTAGCATGGCAGATTCTGCAGTCGTGCAAAGGCAGGAAAAGGAGATGCTGCAGGACATGTTGAAATCTTTGAATCTCAAAAAATTTAAGTAAAATATTTTCAAGTATGAAAGATTCTAAAATACCTCAAAATTAAGTATTTCCTGAAAATATGTTTGAAGCATGTTAATATTTTTGAAAAGATGCAAAGAGGGCAGGGAAGCAAGAGTACAGTCACCCCAAATGTGTCTGTGACCTGTGAAATTCTTGCAGAGCAAACCAAGCCTAAAGAAATTTCCCAGCTTGGCTATGTCCTAAGTCCTCCATGCAGGACTTCGACAAGGAGCGATGCCTTTAAAGTCTGAAGTGTTGTACTTGTGCACTGAAAGTCTATGAATAAGAAAACGTTTGGAGTCTTCTTATCCACCTGCAAACTGTATTTCAGAAAGTGTCCCGTGAATATTTTTGAAGGTGCTAATGAGGATGACATTTCTTAGTGTTTAGTTGCATTGACTTCTGCTTTCTCACATTAGCATCTCTCCACAGGACCTTGAAACGGTTAGAGTTGACAACACAGAAAAGGGAAACAAAGGTAAATCACTGTTTAATGAGGAGCGAGGCATTCATTAGAAATGAATTACACAGATGAATGCAATTCATTTTGTTACAGATAGAAATGGATCTCTTGTAGGCAAATGGTGATATTACAGCCCACGGCTATGTAAAAAGAAAAGGCACAGAAAAGGCAGAAGACGACATTAGACAACCTGAAATGAAATGCAGATGGTTGCAATAAATACTAAGACAGATGCAAAACGAAACAGATAAACAACAGAAAACAGCTAGGCTTATTTTAGATCATTCTCTGTTCCCCAGAGCACCATGGATGCTTATCCCAGTAAAACAAAAAGGCAATCCAACAGTTTCAGTGTTGGGAAAAAAAAAAAAAACACAAAAATACACAGAGAAAGAAACAGAAAAATAATAACAGCACACAAAAACCAGCTCTACATTTCCATTTATCTGGAAAATATAGGTTCATCAGAAGAGTGACACAGCTCACTTCTGCCGTCAAAGAGCAGAGGATAAGACAGCCCTTACTGAAAAACAAACAAACCCAAACATATAAATTTGACTGAAGGATAGGTTAATGGGTACTGGTATCTTCTTGGAAGATCAGAAATTGAAAAATAAATAAATCCAGATGGAAAGAAAAATATACATTTTTCTGTGACTGTATACTTTGGTGCACTGGAGTGTTTCACTAAAATATGTGCTCGCAATTCTTTCAAATGTATTGCAGAGCAAGCTTTCCTAGGTTGCTTTGCCAAACCATCTTCCACAGAACATGAAGAACAACATTCTACATCTCTTCTGCATTTAAAGAATGCAGATCTGTTTCTCTGGTCTGAAACAACCCTTGGCCTCTTTACAAGGTGGACATCATCCAATTGCTTCACATAGTTACCTAAAGTGCCTGCTGGCACTTACCTGAGGTGAGCCCTAGCCAGAACCCGAGGCAAACTGGAAACGGACACCATCAGTTCTGCCCATGGCCTGGGAAAAAAAGGGCTTGAAACACTCTGGAAAGGAGTCACAGAGGAATAAGTGCATGTGTAGGCTACAGTGAAGTCAGCAAATACTTTCTGACATACAAAACATTAAAATAAAAACAATTTGGAAGAACAGAAATATTTTTCTTTTGGTTTTGGCTTTCTATTTTTTAAGTCAACTTGTAAAGGTTAAAAACGCATTCGATGCTCTGAAGAACAGAAATGAAAGAAAATAACCAGTTTGGGGGGTCAAGTAAAACAATGCACATTATCTCAATTCTTTACCCTCCATTCCCCTCTCAGTTTCTCAGTCTGCCTATGAAATCTGTATTTACATGACTTAACAGGTGGACTGAAGGTAAAAGTGTATTTATATACTTCCTTACGAATGCTTAGTTTATCAATTATTGGTGTCTAACTATCAGCACAAGTCTCTCCAGTATTTGGCAAATCTTTGCATTTGGTTTCTTGATATTACTGCTTATCCTGTAAACGAACCAGTGAGTTGAAGAATTACTTTTCCCCACAAAATTTGAAGAAACAACGGTAAAAATGAGCCCGTGTAAATTAAAGCTCAGGATTTTTTTGTTCTTGGTTTTTTTTTTGAAGTACATTTCTAACTTCTGTTGTCTTCCACATTAGCTGCATATAGAGCCAGGAAAAAAAAAAAAAAAAACCCTCTTAATTTTAGGACAATGTTAAGTACTGGCTCATGTCCTGTAAATATTAACGGAATTTGGGAAGGGGTGGGAGGGAAGTGAGAGTGGACCAGAGGGAAGTGTAGGAGAAACATCAATGTGCCTTTTGATCTGTTCTTCTTAGAACTCCATTTCTGCTGTTGTGTAAGCCTACAAAAGGCAAGGACAAAAGAGCAATCCAGAAAATGTGAAACATGCACAAATCCTGAGCCAGAAGAAAACCAGGATATGAACCTGAACAGCTGGACAAGATGCAATTTGCTGACTGGAGCTGTAGAACACACTGAGAAAGGCAGCCCCAGAAATGCTGTCACTCAGAGCCTTTTGCAATGACGTGAATTGTTTGTCCAGACTTTGCCCCCAGTCATTTAAACCTTGACACAAGTTAAAGATTATACCTTCCCTTTGGTGGTCATAAACAGACTGTCACTAAGTTGTATCTACTGCTTTTCCTGTGCGTGAAATAAGTGATTTAGTGAAACTGACCACAGAGAACTAGCACTTAACATCGCTAATTAGGTACTCATAATGAAATAAACAGCACAGAAGCTCGATGCAAGCATGGACAGCACTGAAGCCCTCTGCCCTTTAAACAGACATTCCAGAAGACACGGAGCACGAAAAACTGCTTTTGTGCACAGTAGTCAGAGAAAATGGTATTTTGTGATTCAATACACAGAATGAAGAATTCTGGAATAACAGTACTCCAGGAAAAGGTCAGGCTTGGAGAGATCTCACCAGTCAACCTCACCAGGTATTGAAGTACAGGGCTCAAGAGCCAGTGCATGTGACAGCACTTCTCAGTCCGTATGGCCATCTCCCATTGTTCCTCAGCTAGGAAGAAGAAAGCAAACTGCTGGGAAATTTCACAGTGCCTGGGAAGACATTTGCCCTCAGCATTGCCAAAAGAAAAGAAAAGAAAAAAGCCAAAAAAACATGCCTGCATTAGAGAATCAGTATCAACTAGCGAAGGATAAACTGTTCCTGGAATGTCTCCTTCAGTCGGGGCCTTCGTTTCAGCATCAGAATGGGTGGATCAGAGCCAAAATGCAATAGCTTCGAGTCTACAGCAGCAGGGAACTGAGGCAGACAAAGTGAGTTTGACAGGGCAGGAAATGAGTTGGTTAAATTCAAGTAAAAATATGTTAGTGACCTAAAATTCAAAACTATATTCCGGGATGTAGAGTAGAACTACGGAAAACTCAAAGTCTCTTTAAAACATTCCTTACTTTCTAAATTAATGGTACACACTGAAGAAACTAATCCCTTCAAAAAACAGTTCACATTCTGTTTGTAAGTTTGTTTGTCTTCTAACTTCTGGAGTCAAAGATGAAAAACTAGAGGAAGAGAGCTCTGCACCCTGAGTAGATGAAGGATGGAAGGTTTTGGATCAGCCCAAATAAGGGGATCAGTGATGCTATAAATCTTACAATAATAAAATGAGAGAACCTTGAGCAAAATTCACCCTTTCCCTAAGCCTTCAAAAAAAAATTCCATCCCTTGTGAAAAATGATATACTGACAGTTCAAAAAATTCAACATCACTCTTCCCATTTTTAGGCATATACCCAACACATATGGGCAGCACCTGCGAAGAATTCAACATAGCAGCATGGGGGGAACTGCCTCACTGCTGCCTGAGAGAACAGCATTGCCTCCATAGGTTCTGCACAGCTTTCAGTGCACACTTTAAACAAGACAGACTCTCGAGAACCAAAACAAAAAACCCACAGACAAAGGTATACTTGGCGCTTCAAAACAAATACAAGCATGGAGCACCACAGAGCATGGATTCCTAAGTGGCACTTAAATACAAATAAACAATAATCAATATCGCTGTGACTGAAAATGAAAGCAGTGTGATAATACAACAGAAAAAAACAAGCTAGTTTATTTGAAAATGGAAAGAAATGGAAGAGCCATAAGTTTCTTGCTAATGCAAGATGCCAAGGAAGTCAAGAGGAAAGATTTAAGAGGAAGATGTGATTTCAGAACGTATAACAACTCTACAGGCTCAGAAGGTGATCAGGACATAGAGAAAGAAAAATTCTTCTTGCACAAACCACCCCTGAGCGTAAGACCTCTACCAAAGTGGAAGAAACTCAAAACCACAATAATATACAACACAGTGGAATGGATAGTGTAGGAATGCAAAAGATATGCGAGGAAGTGAGCCACTGAAGTTGAAGCAGCTAAAACGAAGGGAGCAGGCAGAGAAGGGATCAAACATTTCTGCGTAAGGATGTCAGAGAAGAAAGCTAGAAAGAAATTTCAAGGAGTGACA